TCTTATATAGAAGATTACGAAAATTTTAGTTACTAAAGTTTATCTTTATCCTTTAAAAGTTTATCTTTATCCTTTCTTGTAAGAGAATAAAAACGATTTTACTTTCCTTTAAACAAAAAGATTTTCGGCAGCATTTTATTTGGAAAGATTTTTCAAAAGGATTCTTCTTACCAAAACGAGAAGAATAAGATCTTCATTCACTTTAGGTAAGAGAATGAATTAAAATCTCTTAGATCTTCAAAAGATATTTCCAAAAAAGATAATGTATGATTTTATTACCAAAATCATTTAGAGACGTAATCTCTTTAGTTTTAGGAAATAAAATCATTTTTGATTCTTAAAGCATATTTTCGAAAACAGAAATTTTTGATGAAAAAATTTATTTTGAAGAATCTAATTTCCGACAAATATTTTTGATGAGAGAAAAAAATTAATTTATGTGCTTATAGATGAATTTTCTCTCTATCCTACAATGTATCCTAGATACCTAACCACTAGGGTTTTCTTCACACACATTATGGATTTTGTAGGATTGCCTTGTACACGATTTTCTTTCGTATGAATTCTGCACAAATAATAGTAGCACAAATATATATAATTCAAATTATTTATTTGTTTTAATCATCAAAATTTCGAGATTTTAGACGTTGACCTTGAGCCAACACCTATTTTAGAAAATTCTTTGGAAAATAGTTATTGCATTTTAAAACTATTTCACAAAGCTTTAAGCAAATTAGAAAAACTGATTATGAATTCTATTGTGAATTACACTAAATGTAGAAGGGACAGTTAGAACTTGTATAAATCACATACAGAAATCAGAGTTCTGAATGTTCAAGAGATAAAACTTATTTGCGTTTAGACAGAAATTCGATTAACAACTTTGCATTTCTAAAAAGATTAAACAGTTGTATTTAAATAGAATATAAGCAAGCAGAAACTTCAGAAAATTTTAAAAGAAGATTAAACACAGAGATTTATAGTGTCCGACACTAACTCACCTACATCCACTCCCCAAGACTCATCTTAAGATCCTCCACTATATTATCTCTTTTCAAGGGTAAGAGACAAACAACTTTCAAGGAAATAGATCAACACCTAGATCTAACTTTTGTCCCATTAGATTTTTCAAAGGTTCTAGTCAATCTCAACCCTCTCTGTTGTTGCAGAGAACAGAAACTCATCAAGACATTAGAATCTTAGACAAAGAGAAGGTCGCTTGATAACCTATTACACTATAGCTTTTCACCTAAGCTATTACACAAAAGTTTTTCATTTAAAAACCTCTAATCTACAATAGATTACAAAGATTACCAAAATCTGTATTACGACAGAGAGAAATGCATTGATAAGCATGGGGAAAAGAACGGGAAAACAGATTGTTAAGAAAGATTAATAAAGTTTCAGAATGTTCTTCAAAAAATATTTTTATTAAATTTTCTTTTCTCTTAAAAAAATATTTCTGTGTGAAGCAAATAGGACGAAAAGAAATAAGAGATTTTAAGAGAGGACTGTTGAGAGATTTAAAACTTTTAATCAATGGACTCTTACTCTTATTAAAACCTCTACGTTTTCAAAAGAAGAAAAACAATTCTTTATAGGAGGGAATGAAAGATCAACATTTTTTAGAAGCTGATTGATCTTTAGCTTTAAAGACGTATTTAGACTTTCCAAAGATAAAAGATTTATAAGAAATCTTTTGTAAATACTACAACTTATTTGTTTTACCAAAAATATTTAAGTCAAAATTCTTTTTTCATTTAGGTAAGTTAGAATAAAGAAAAGATTTGACTTTTTTATATAAGGTTAATTTTGACAATAAAAGATATTGCAAAGTCTTTTTCAAATATTATTTATTTGTTGCCAAATATAATTGAGCCAAAATCTTTTTCATTTAGGTAAGTAAATTTAAAAAGATCAAGATTTGACTTTTATTTTTAAAGTAATTTTCGAAAATGATTTTTGAGAGAAAAAATATTTTTGTAATTATAAAAGAATGTTCTCTCTATCCTACAATATACCCTAAGATACTAAAAAAAAAATCTTCAATAATCTTCATTGTCTTCAAAGAATCTTGTATTTATAGGAACTTGCCTTCTTTAGCAATTTTCATATTTGAAATCTGCATAAAATAATATTTGAAATCTACATAAAATAATATTAGCACATAAAAGAATATTAAATTTATTTGTTTTGCAAAATCATCAAAATTTCAAGATAAAATTGACCCTTGAGCCAACACCCATCACTGCCAGGCAACTTAAAAGGAGCCATAGAACTAAGCGCTAGATACATTTCATTCGCTGTAAAGGCAACATTAAATGAATCCCAAGCTGTTGAAGGAATGAACGGGAACCGGCCAGAACGCAAAACCGAAAAATCAAGAAGAGAATCCATCGAGTATAACTGCAAGAAGAAGGTCCAACCCATCGACTTTAGGATCGCATTATCAGACACCCAATTCCCATCACCATCTTGAACCCGATGAATAGTAAGCTTTGATTTTGTGCACCATAACCAAAACATGGTAGAACTTAGTATTCTTGTTACCCGAAACATTCCACTCTTCTCTAGACTTTTGAAACCACAAAAGCTATTTTTGTTTAAGAACATCTTCCAACTCCTTCAAGAGATTTCATAAATTTTGGGTGTCGGATCGGGTTTGTTGCACCCCTCTTCTTATTGCACCCCTCAATTTAAAATTTGTCCTAGTTTTTAAATAAAATATTATAAAATACAAATTTTAAATTGTAAACAATATTGTGAATGTTTATTACTATTACACTATAAGGGTAAAATATAGTACCTTTCCCCAGGTCATTTTATTTTATATATGCTAAAGTCACTCTATGGAATATAGTTTTTTGAAATGAATATCGATGTGCTATGTGTCGTTATAATTTAACAACCTTAATCTTAGTTGTAAGCTACAATAATGTTTCCTTCCTTATAAATGAAGACAATCTCCAATTTTCTAAAGCATAAACTAGTTTTCCTTCTTTAATAACTTAATATATTGTTAAATTTTTTACTTAAAAAATAATACTGTAATTTTTTAAGAAAATCGAAAATAGAAAACAAAAAAATTACTTTTTTCTTAAGTAAATTATTGAATTTTTATTTTTGTAATTAAATTCTTTACTTGAATTGACAACAAGTAACTCATCATTTACTTTATTTGTTGAGAAATTAAATATTGAGATCCTTGTTAGAGACATATACCTTTTTCAGTTAAAATGTAATACATCAGCCAATATACAATACATTTGAAAGTGGTAGATATACTCATCAACTTGGTTAAAGAAATATATATATCTAACCAAAAAAAAAAAAAAAAAAGACACGGGAGGAGGGGAAGAATAAGATCGAGGTACCACAATATAACACAAATCATATATATCTAAGCCAAAAAAAAAAAAAAAAAAAAAAAAGATGTATACATGAAATGTAAATATGTAACTATCTATTTCCTTACTTAATAGTTTTTTTTTTCAAAATTCAAAATTATTATTTTATAAAATTATCATGAGTCCATTGGGCCTGCATATATTAGGAGTGTCTAGGGATAGATTGGATAAACCGGACAGTGTCCATTTAGTCCCAAAAAAAAAAAAAATGAGAATAAGAAGAGTTTGGAAGGGAAAAACAAACATGAAAAGGATAAAAGAGAAATATAAGAACTAAGAAGTATAAGAACTAAGAAGGTTGGAAAAAAAAAAGGGAGTTAAAGGTAACTTGAACATAATTAAGAAATTTGGTTTGTTTGTAAAGATTCGCTACAGCTACAACATTTGCTTTTCCTATTTATAGGGTTCTAGGAGTGACCTCCAAAGCAAGTTGCTCGTTTTAAAAACTATATATAAAAATCCAAAAATGTCCTAAAAGCAATTTTTACAATTTATGGGTTTTAGGAGACCAAATGCCCTCTTGGCACTATCTTAATTATATAATAATTCTTTTTAAACTTTGCCAATTCAAGCCTCTCGTTTAAGCCTAGTTTTGAGGGCTATAATCAACAATGCCCCCTACACCCCCTACACGTGGGCTTTATTACTTTTGAAGTCTTCTGCTTTATTAGTTTTAAAGTGAATCAACAATGCCCCCTACACGTGGGCTTTATTACTTTTGAAATCTTCTGCTTTATTAGTTTTAAAGTTCTATGTGCACGGTTAAGTGCCACAGGATTGTCCAAGGGACACATCAAATTACTCATAAGGTCATGCCTTTAACAATGTTTGTTTTGGGGCTTTCCTTTTTTGTCTATTATAAATAATGACTTTAGACACACATCTTAGTACTTCATCCCTTCTCCTTTTTTTCTTTTCAAAACCAATAATTTTTCTATTTTCGACCCTTCCTCCTACTTTTCAAAACCAATAATTTTTCTATTTTCGACCCTTCCTCCTAGTTGTTCCTTTCTAGCTAGCCAAAAAAACTAGCAACATTTCTTCAATCTATTATCTTTTTTCCTTTTCAAAATTGATAGTTTTCTATTTTCAACCCTTCCTCCTAATTGTTCATATCTAACCCATCATGGCATCCAATTAGGATAATCCGGCTTCTTGTGAGACCATAACTAGCCAAAAAACTAGAAAGATTTATTCGATCATTGATCTAGCTAGCCAAAAAACTAGAAAGATTTCTTCTATCATCAATTACATGATCTACATAAATCTTGATATGAAGCTCAAATTCTTAGTCCATTCCAATTCTGTCTTGAAAATAACATGTCAATTTGGGATTTTTAAGATCTAGTTAGGAACCCTTCTCCTATTGAGAGTAACATGTAATTTCTTTTTATACATACATTTTTTTTAACAAACTCGGATCCCTGATTATTTATCTTTTGGTCACTAAATATATGCCTCTATCATTAATTAAAACAAATTTCTTGTCACGTTAATTATCAATCATAATAATATTAATATCAGAGTAATACACAATTTCCCTCTCTTACTTCTTTTTCCTTCCTGTGTCCGGAGTACTTGATTTAGCACCGCGGCTCTAATTTCTTCAGGTCAAATCTTAGATCTGAGGGCGCTCTAAAAAGTCACAGTGGAGTTGCTTCTGGCCTAGAAAGCACGTTGCCTTGAAGATGATTGGCCAGATCTTCGTTTCCTTTTAAAAAAAAATAAAAAATAAAAAATTGCAGCATCATGAGTTATTACTGTGATGAAACGTGAAACAAGCATTGAACGAAATAGATTGTATGGTAAAAATACAAGATTTTGTCTTCCGTTTAAAACCTTATTAAACTTACCTTGAAATATCCAAATCCAGATCACCATCTGTACATTCCATCAATGTAGAATTATTCACTGGCCTGCCAAGGAATCACAGAGAAATCCAAATAGAGAAAAATCAATATCAAAACACAATTACAAACTTACATATTAGGCATATAGAAAAATTGACAATATAGAGATAGCAAGAAAGTACCTCCTTATTGTTGGCCTTCGGAAGGCCCGATCATCATTAATGTTTCTCATATCTTCAAACCTCGTACTCTTATCAAATATGGGTCGACTCTGTATTTGTTTTCGAAAGTACAAGTAAAAGTTAATATTTCCAACAAAAAAAATGTTCAACATAAGTATAACCCAAGGTTTTAACTCCTAAAACAGGGAAATATGCAACTTATGACTTTTCACTAGCAAAATGAATGCAGACTTTAGGAGAAAGGCAGGGTAAACAATTTAGTAAACCAAGAGTTGAAAGTCGGATAGCATTACCTAAGAGTTGAAAAGTCGGATAGCATTACCCATTTTCAACCAAATCTTTAGCAATTTCTGTTGGATTCTTGGTTTCCTCGTCAGATTTGATAAGAACATTTTGATAAGAACATAATCACCTATACAAAGACATATTGGACTGATCAAGTTTTTGCCCAGTTAAAAAATTGCAAACAAAGAGTTAAATAATAAACATATTGGTGCACAACAAGATTAACCTTTGCAAGACCACTTTTCTTCAATTGCTCTCTTCTATCATACTGTTCCAGATCAATTGGAAACTGCATGGAAAAAGGAAGCATTTCAGGCTAGACAAAATGTTTCCACAGAATCAAATAGTACTGATGAGTTTTGGCTCAATGTTACGGGGATCATCTCCATGACTGTCAGGTCTCTATGAGTTAAAACCCCAATCAGAGCCAAATTAAACAAAAAAAAAAAAAAAAAAAAAGAAGCAATAGTAAGGGACATCTACATACGTCAGTCAAAATCGTCAAAATTGCTGCACGTATATTTATATTAGGCAAACTTCCATCTGGAAGGGGTTCAAGCCAAATTTTTAAAAGAGTTAGTACCCCATGATCTATGAATTCCTGCTGGAGCTGCTTCCTGCACCAGAATAATTGAAAAGAACAGAAGAATTATGAATTCCATGGAAGCAAAAACAGAACAGACACACTTGTGGCAGAAACCAACTTACTTTGAGAGAACCTCAGTAAGAAGTGGTGACTTTTTAAGTTTATTGATGGCAGGTTTTCCCCGTCTATTTAATTCTGCATCCTCTTCTTCAGCAGTAACCTTCAAAGCTCAGCCAATGGACATTCTCAACTAACAGCGCATTTCTGCAGACTTTTTCTCATTCTTCTTCCTTTTTTCTTTACCCATTTTGAAAAGCTGTTTTTATTTCATCATCTTCCTCACCCTCCGTCAGCCTGGAAACAGCAGAAATCAAAACACAGATTTAAAAGTAAAAGGAACTTAATAGACACCAAAATAAATAAGTAGTGCAAGACAGATATTTTAATAGATAGTGCAGAGATTGCAGCATCAGACACTTGAAATCAACTGTGAGAATGTATGAGAAAAAAACAAATGTAGGATTGCCAAGGCTTCGAATAGTAAGGCCGCAATAGATGAATTCGCCATACGTAATATTAATTAAATTCAAGAGGGAAATAAAGAGCTAACATAAATGGAAGGTCGGCAAAAGAAAAACAAATGAAATTACTAAGCCTGAGGAGCATCACCAGCGACAGCGTTGTTCATTGTACACTCACCATTGGTTCATTGTCACTCACATATCGATCAGCAGGATCTAAAGCACTGTCATCTATGAAGTTGTCATCATCTACATTCCTGAGACCCTCTTGATCATCCTATTACAAGCAAAATCATAGTTAGATTAATTAATCTTTAATAATGATAATGAACCAACAGGACGTTCTCAAGAAAGATCTATAAAATCTCACAGCCTTCAAAAATAAGGCAGTGAGGGTTGAACTTAAGCATAGTAATGCATAAACAATCATAACAACTAAACATGTAATCAAATATTTGTAACACAGAAGTTTAACATTGATACAAAATATAAACCAATGTAAAACTTTAATGAGCAAATAAACAGAACAGGAAAATTAAACAGTTCAGAATATGCAGATCCAAATGTAAACTTTCATATAAATCTACCAAACAGACCTCAACTCATAAAAATACCAAATAGCACATAAAAATACCAAATAGCAGAAGTACAAGGATCTCCAATTTGCCTTATACAAAGAAATACTAGTTACTTAACTCCAATATTAAAAGTCCATACGCTCAAATGACATTGAAAGCAAACAATTTAATTAAAGGATAAGAACAAGATTGGCAACAGGAATTCTAACCAAGGAAGAAAATCCTCTCTCTACGAACTAACACCAATTTCTATTAATTTACTATTCATCAGTCACCACCATAGGCACTAAGAGAACATCAAATGGGTAACAAACAAAATCAACGGCATACAAAGTATCAGATGTAAATTAAGCCAACCGACAAAAAAAAAAAAAAAAAAAAAAAAAAAAAAAGAAAGAAAAGTAAAAAAAGAAAGCTTAAAACCTCAGAATCACCGCCAGCAATAGTATCCCACATCCCCTTGACCTCACCATCTTCCTTTCCGGCCAGCTTCTCTGAATACATTCCCTTCTTCATCAATCCTGATTTTGAATGACTTCCCTCCTCCCCCCCACTAATTCCATACTTCTTCTCTCCCTTGCTAACCTTCTTCCTCTCCTTCCCACTAACCTTCTTTCTCTTTTTCCCTTCCGTCGCATACTTCCTCCCAAAACCCTCTTCTTCATCCTCAACGGCCAACTCAGGCACCACAAAACTACCCTTTTCCCCCATCACACAATTGCTCCGGTCAGATTGTGTGACAGCCTCTATGATATCAGCGAAGAGAGTTGTATTTCACGTTTACTTTACAAGCTTAAGTTGATCCGTGCGTTCTTTCAGGAATAATGTTATATATATAGGGTGTCTTGAACCTCAAGTCAGTGTATAGATTAGGATTCTACGGTAAATATCAATATTAATCCCTATAATTATTCAAGACTCACATAAAAATTATCATTAAATCCCTAATAAATATTTATATTTTATCAAAGGTCTCCATTTAATTTTAGACCCGTAATACTTATCCATTTTTTTTATTGTTTTGCTAAATATAATTGATTGGTTTTTTTTATATATAATATAATAACAATGATAATAAATTATTGAGTAAAAAAATAAATATATCAATTAGGTGTTTTTTATTCAATAATTTACTATAAATATTATAATATGTATGTGGACAAAATGAATAAATATTGTAAAGAAAATAAAATGGATTGAAAAATAAAACTTTATGATTGAAACAATAAATGATAAGAAGAAATCTTTGATGTTTAATAATTATAACCCTATAGCCAAGAATACTCTACATCTTAATGTTCAATTATTGAAAATACATGATCAAATTAATATGACCATTGAGGGAACACGTTGGGAATAATTCTAACATAAATAATCTGTTTGCAACACAAAAATCGGTAACTTGAGTAGAATATATATATATTATATATATATATTATGTGTGTGTGTGTGTGTGTTGTTGTAGGGCTAGTTTTAGGTTTAAAAATTTGAAAGATAAGATTTAGTTGGATTAGATTAGTTTAAAAGTTATCAAATATTATTTATATTTTAAATATTAAATTGGAAAAAAAAAATAATTATATATTAACCTCAAAACACAAAAAATAAGCGATAAAATGCTGAAACAGACAGAGCCCTCAAAATTTCTTTTGATTTATTCTTTTTTATATAATATTTTATATATGTTGATTTTTATTTTAGGTCAGGAAAAAAAATTCTGATTTTCTATTTTTATATTTTCTAGTTTAATATGTTTAATCGAATAATATTTAAATTCAAATAGAAAACTAATATAATCAATCTAAATAAAGATTATTATAAAAAAAAATTTTCCCAACATGCGTTGCACGCATTATACTTGTTATTTGTACCCGTTTTTCTTGCTTGTTATTTACTTTATAAATTACTTTATTAATTTTGACCTATTTATATTGTTTATATTTGCATAAAATAATTAAATAAATAATAAGTTTTTGAGATAAAACTTAGTAGTCCTATTATTTTCGTTTAATTTAATTATGTACTTCTTATAACTACTAACTTTATAAACTATACAAATTTGAAATGCATAAAGGCATCATTAATGTCACAATTCCTTTTGAAATGTCCTCTGAAATTAAGAACACCCTTTCACCGTAACTTTTAAATGACTATTGTTAGTTTTGAATCTTTGCATAATATTGATTAATATTTTGAGAATATCAAAAATTAATAATAATTTCTTATTTTATTTATTAGCCAACTAAAATAGGAGGTAACCCACATGGGAGTAGTTCGGTGGTAAAGAGCACTTATGGGATTGATCATCATGGCTTAGGTCATGGATTTGATCATCCACTATATAAACTCCCCCTGAGCAGATCCTTTTGTCTCCAAGAGCAAGGGAGGATTAGTTAGGTTTGTGAACCATTAATTGGACACGAGTCTGAATACCTCGTGTAAGTATAAAAAATAGGAATTAATTTATCATTATTAAATTCGGCAATATTTTTTTATCCGTCCCATTATTACACTTCTTATTGTTACTTTTTATTCTTTGTACTTTAATAATTATGATATATATTTGTAGTTTGATTTATAGCCAATAAAACTAAAATATTAGAAATTATTAAAGTAAAGCTTTATTTCGCTATAAGCAAATTAAAAAAACGAACGAAAAATTAATAATAGAAATAGGATTAATAATGAACTTTATTATTTAAACCTAGTTTTTTTACCTCTGACTTTTATCGTTTAATTACTGCTCAATTAAAATTGGCCAAGAAAGAATATTCTTATCAATTAAATATATTAATTTATTATCCCTAGCCCGCTCTCTCTTCTTTCTCTGAAACACTAACTAAACTCTCTTTTCATTTACACTTTCACCGGAAGCCTCCGGTGGTTAGCCTTTTTCCATTTTTTTTTTTTTTACAAATAATCCTCAGTCTGTATATAGACATGGAGTTGATTATCGCCCAAATGTTGAGAATTATTGTTGCCAACATCTTGGGATTTTCTTTGTACGTTAATAATTAAGAATTATTGGTTAGTTTGATTTTAGTTTGATTTATAGCCAATAAAACTAAAAATTATATTAGAAATTATTAAAAGTAATTAGCTTTATTTCGCTATAGCAAATTAAAAAAAAACAACGAAAAAATTTAATAATAGAATAGGATTATAATGAACTTTTATTATTTAAACATAGTTTTTTACTGACTTTTATCGTTTAATTACTTGCTCAAATTAAAATTGCCAAGAAAGAAATATTCTTATCATATTTAAAATATATTATATTTATTATTCCCTAGCCGCTCTCTCTTTCTCTCAAAACCTAAACATAAAAACTCTCTTTTCTTCTTTCACGGGAAGCTCCCGGTGGTTAGCCTTTTTCATTTTTTTTTTTTTACAAATAATCCTCAGATCTGTATATAGACATGAGTTATTATCGCCCAAATGTTGAGAATTATTGTTGCCAACATCTTGGGATTTTATTCTTTGTACTTTAATAATTATGATATATATTTGTAGTTTGATTTATAGCCAATAAAACTAAAAATTATATTAGAAATTATTAAAAGTAATTAGCTTTATTTCGCTATAGCAAATTAAAAAAAAACAACGAAAAAATTTAATAATAGAATAGGATTATAATTTATTATAACATAGTTTTTTTAAACTGACTTTTGATCGTTTAATTACTTGCCTCAATTAAAATTGCCAAGAAGAAAATATTCTATATAATTTAAATTATATTATATTTATTATTCCCTACCGCTCTCTCTTTTCTCTAAACCTAAACATAAAAACTCTTCTTTCTTCTTTCACTTGGGAAGCCTCCTCGGTGGTTAGTCCTTTTTCATTGTTTTTTTTTTTTACAAATAATCCTCAGATCTGTATATAGACATGAGTTATTATCGCCCAAATGTTGAGAATTATTGTTGCCAACATCTTGGGATTTTATTTTCAGATTTAGTTCTGAGTTATTGTTGTCACTATTATGATGATCTTGTCCAATATCTTTTTTTATTTAGATAGTTATGCAGAAAGAAGTGCAGATCTCCTCTCTAATAGAATGAAGAAATTTGAAGGTAAATAAATCAGACTTGTAGAAAGACCATAGAATTGAATAGTGGCTATGAATAGCGACCAAGTGGAGCAAACGATCGCATATAGCACAAGTATTATGTTTTGTCAGCTCGATCATATACTTTAAATCAAGATTGTGTTTTTTTATTGTTCGTATGAGTGGTTTATTATTTAACTTCCTATACAAAAATATAGAAACAGATTAATATATATCACATGTCTGAATACAGTTTCCTTTTAATGAAATTTCTAGTTTGATTTCTTCTTTAAAAAAAAATATTATATTTAATAAACCAAGAATTTCATTTCATTTCTGCACAACTAGTAATTGTGGAGTCGGATCACAATATTCTGAATTCAAAATTTCTTTTCATGCTTCGGGTAATTCACTCTAATGTTGCATTCTTGCTCATTCATTTTTTGACCAGCATAGTTCATATTTTAATTTACAATTCTTTCATAGATCATAAAAATTATTGTCCATCAAGTTGCATTTAACTTTCCTTTTGCCATAAGAATCTTACACCTTGAGACTATATAATTAAAAAGCACAAAAAAGAAAAATAATTTAAAAATATAGTAAATAACCTTTATACAAATTTAACATGAAATTCAAAAGACAAAACCTTAAAGAACGAATTTTATTTATTTATGTTTCTATTTTTGATTGTTTTGCATGCATCTCCGCCACAGTCTACTGCCACTCATAATGCTAAAGTATCGTCCATGTTTACATGTAGCAGTGGAATAAAAAGTCAGAACCTCTAATATAGATACCATTTTTTTCTCATATTTTTCTCCTTTACATGAAAAATTTGATAAATAAATGAAAGCATAACCAAATTACAATTTGAATCTGAAAAGCTCGTGAAGGATGAATTCATATCATCTTCGTTATGTTACTTCCTTCCATACCAACAAAATACACTTTGAAGAATCAAATCCCATAAATGCATCTATCATCCTCAGCCATCCCTACTTCAAAAAGAAAAAGATAGTGCGTGAGAGTATTCTTATTCTAAAAGAAGTCTTCTTAATGTATTTTTATTTTGAAATAAGTCCTTTAAAAAGAGATAGTGCGTGAGAGAGAGGTTGAGAGATCACTGCCCCGCTAAAAATTTAGATTATAAGTTGATACTAATTAGAAGTTCTTATTTAAATTTAAAAAATTTTACGCAGTAAGTTGTTAACATATTTTTTACTAAAAATAAGTGAATAGACTTTAAAATAATATTAAGATCCAATCAGATTTAAGTAAATTAAGAAGTTGATACTGATTAGCCGTTCTTAAATCACTATTTTTCTTGATTAATTTTAAATTTTATTATATGGTTTAAGCCATAGGTAGAGTTCCTCGAATTACTATTTAAGGTTGGATTTAGTCGAATAGTTCATTAAATGTGAAATTAACAACCACTTACAATATTTTCCTTAATTTAGTATTTAATTTATAAGATTTAGCATAATTCAGACTGTAACTATTGCTAACAGTAGCTAGAGTAGCTAGGATGTGTTATAGATTTAACGTAATTTATAAAGGATGTGTTATAGATTTAACGTAATTTATAATATTCAATATTATAAATAATTAAATTCATTAACTAACTTGGTATATTCAACTATTTATTTATTTTTTAGAATTATCTGCTATAAAAGTTAGTAAACATAAGTTAGTTGTAAATATCAATTTATCTTTTATTTTTTTAGTCATTTTTTTACCTCGTTAATAGTTCTATTTGAATGG